GAGTAAATTCTAAGATTTGAAGTGAAAATTCTAAGTTTGAAGAGTAAATTCCAAGATTTTGAAGAGTAAATTCGATCTTTTGAAGAGTAAATTCTAAGTTTTGAAGAGTAAATTCTATATTTCGAAGAGTAAATTCGATGTTTTGAAGAGAAAATTCTAAGTTTGAAGAGTAAATTCCAAGATTTGAAGAGTAAATTCGATGTTTAGAAGAGTAAATTCTAAGATTTGAAGAGTAAATTCTAAGTTTTGAAGACTAAATTTTAAGTTCCGAAGAGTAAATTCGATATTTTGAAGAGTAAATTCTAAGTTTGAAGAGTAAATTCTATGTTTCGAGGAGTAAATTCTAAGATTTGAAGAAAAAATTCTAAATTTGAAGAGTAAATTCCAAGATTTGAAATGTAAATTCGATATTTAGAATAGTAAATTCTAAGATTTGAAGAGTAAATTCTAAGTTTTGAAGACTAAATGTTAAGTTCCGAAGAGTAAATTCGATATTTTGAAGAGTAAATTCTAAGTTTTGAAGAGTAAATTCTATGTTTCGAAGAGTAAATTCTAATATTTGAAGAGAAAATTCTAAGTTTGAAGAGTAAATTCAAGTTTTGAAGAGTAAATTCGATATTTTGAAGAGTAAATTCTAAGTTTTGAAGAGAAAATTCTAAGTTTGAAGAGTAAATTCCAAGATTTGAAGAGTTAGTTCGATGTTTTGAAGAGTAAATTCTAAGTTTTGAAGAGTAAATTCGATGTTTCGAAGAGTAAATTCTAAGATTTAAAGAGAAAATTCTAAATTTGAAGAGTAAATTCCAAGATTTGAAGAGTAAATTCGATGTTTTGAAGAGTAAATTCTAAGTTTTGAAGACTGTATTTTAAGTTCTGAAGAGTAAATTCGATGTTTCGAATAGTAAATTCTAAGTTTTGAAGAGTAAATTCTATGTTTCGAATAGTAAATTCTAAGATTTGAAGAGAAAATTCTAAGTTTGAAGAGTAAATTCCAAGATTTGAAGAGAAAATTGGATGTTTTGAATAGTAAATTCTAAGTTTTGAAGAGTAAATTCTATGTTTCGAAGAGTAAATTCTAAGATTTGAAGAGAAAATTCTAAGTTTGAAGAGTAAATTCAAATATTTTGAAGAGTAAATTCTAGATTTTGATGAGTAAATTCTATGTTTCGAAGAATAAATTCTAAGATTTGAATAGAAAATTCTAAGTTTGAAGAGTAAATTCCAAGATTTGAAGAGTAAATTCGATATTTTGAAGAGTAAATTCTAAGTTTTGAATAGTAAATTCTATGTTTCGAAGAGTAAATTCTAAGATTTGAAGAGAAAATTTTAAGTTTTGAGCAGTAAATTCTAAGTTTTGAAGAGTAAATTCTATGTTTCGAAGAACAAATTCTAAGATTTGAAGAGAAAATTCTAAGTTTCGAAGAGTAAATTCGAAGATTTGAAGAGCAAATTCAAAGTTTGAAGAGTAAATTCCAAGATTTGAAGAGTAATTCGATGTTTTGAAGAGTAAATTCTAAGTTTTGAAGAGTAAATTCTATGTTTCGACGAGTAAATTCGATGTTTTGAAGAGAAAATTCGAAGTTTGAAGAGTAAATTCCAAGATTTGAAGAGTAAATTCGATGTTTTGAAGAGTAAATTCTAAGTTTTGAAGAGTAAATTCTATGTTTCGATGAGTAAATTCGATGTTTTGAAGAGATAATTCTAAGTTTGAAGAGTAAATTCCAAGATTTGAAGAGTAAATTCGATGTTTTGAAGAGTAAATTCTAAGTTTTGAAGAGTAAATTCTATGTTTCGAAGAGTAAATTCTAAGATTTGAAGAGAAAATACTCTTCGAAACATAGAATTTACTCTTCAAAACTTAGAATTTAC